AGGCCCGGAGCGCGCGCCCGGCGCCGCGTTTCCCGCGGTCGCTCGGAGCTCTTCAGGGAGACGCCGCGAAGTGCACACCCCGTTTGGCTCTGTTTCGGAAGAATGTACCCAGCCGTGGTGACCCCTTAAACTATTTACGTGAGATTCTTTCAGCCGTCATTAAGAATATTAGACGCAACCCCTTGTTCGTACGCCATCAGTGATACGCTGATTGTAAGTCACCTGTTCAGACCGTGGAGGTGCGGTTAGTTCCGACTGGTTTCGTTCCTGAGGCGCTTTACATCGAGTATGCAGTTACCAGAGAATTCAGAATTGGCCCTACCCCTGTTTATTTCACTTAGTTGTAGTGTGTTACTGTCCACTGGAAAAAAGGGAAAGGCTAATTCTGGAGCGGGTATTCCCACCATTTTCTGTAGATCACATCATAGTAGAACCCTAGTCACTAAACAAGGACAAAAACTATTCATTAGACGTCTCCTTCCCAAAATAAAAGCGTGTGCGTGTGTGCGTGTGCAGGAAAGGAATAGAGAAACCTCACAGATTTTTAATTCGGACCCAAAAGTTGAATATTCCAACAGATAATAGAAATTTGAGCAATTCTGTTTATTCATAAAAAACGAAGTGGAACAGCTATCCGTGGCGAATTAGAGATGAAACCTGTTTCCTCGCTGTGGACCGCCAATTCGCTTGTAAGCCTTGGTGTCCTCATCCATCCGAGGACAATACTCACTACGTCATAGGATTGTCGTGAGACTCGGTAATTCCTGCGCGGTGCTTAGAACAGTGCTCGCCGTGCACTGCCGTCAGCGCTCGATAAGTGCTGTGACTACTATTAGGAACGCAGACCACAGTATTGAATTTAATAAAGAAAAGTAGGTTGAAAGTCACTTTCCAACAACGGGGTAGTGGTTACTTAAATCATTCAATGAGATAGTGTACAATAAAAATCTTGCTATTGAAGAATATTTAACATCTAGGAAGTCTTGAAGCAATAGCTTTTGTCCCTGTGAGTGAAACTGTACAACCTCCTGCTCCTGTAACGTCTTACTATGTCTGAGCAGGGCCAGCAAGACACAAGACTGTCACAGCTTGACAAACTGGCTTTGTTTCTGCTTCTGCCTGCCCACAAGTTCCACGCCAAAGACAAACCTCCTGGATCAACTGTATGAAAGCGAAAGCTTGTCCTTTGTCCTTTGCTCAGCCATTGTGGATTTATCAGCTGAGCCAGTAAACACCTAAAAATAAAGTGCTATTTTTCCCCATTGATCCCTCCTAGCTCCTAAATCCCACAACACTCTCAACATACAATGTTGTGTACAAAATGCAGAACATTAAATTATATATTGCAGTAAATTATATAATATGAGCCCAAGGTACGGTTATGAATGACCTCATACCTTGTTTTAAATTTTCTGATTTTCCAAATATCTATCATGAACGTGAGAAATAATTGCTACTTGAAAATTTATTCAGAAAAAAATAACAAAAACATTTACTTTAAACCAGGTATGGTAGCACAGGCCTGTAATCCTAGCACTCTGTGAGGCTTGGCAGGCAGATCACAAGTTCAGACCTAGCCCAGGCAACTTAGCAAGACCCTGTCTCAAAATAAAAAGAGCTGGAGCTGGGCATCATGGCGCATGCCTATAATCCAAGCACTCTGGAGGCTGAAGCACGAGGATCACTTCGAGTTCAAGGCCAGCCTGGGATACAAAGTGAGTTCAAGGCCATCCTGAACTACATAGTGAAACCTTGTCTCAAAAAGACAAAAAAAAAAAAAAAAGCAATTACTCTGTACAACTGAAATATACTAATAAAAAAATTCAAAGAAAAAATGATGGGGTGTTCAATCTCACGTGCCTCCCCAAAAAAGTTATTTCAAAACGTTACCATCTTCAGAAAAATGTCAACCAAAGTATCAGTGCTCAAGCTGCTGACTCGAAGCAGAATGTGAAGAATACCAGATACTAACCAGATATCCATATTAAACTGATAATTCAACACAATTTTAGGACAGACAATATTTGCAATACCCTTAGAATGTGCTACCTCCACACATGCTCTATGATCTAGTCTCGCAGCTAGATTCAAGACTGGGGAAGCCTGCAGTCGTTTGTACTAGAGTCAGGAGCAGTGTGTGACATACAGCAGGACCTGCTGTTGGTAACAAGCACAGACCTTCCGCTCAGTGAATTGAAACAAATGCTCCGTGTACTTATTCGTAGCCTACACCCGCCACACACACATACACATATACTCTGCTTCCAAAAAGGTGTCTGAGATGGCTTACCGCAAAAGACTTACAGAAAATGTCATTGTTAGTGAGAAATTTTTAAAGGAAAAGGCAAATATGCCCTAGTTATATGCCTGTATTAACACTGAGCTTTATTTTACAAATATTTCTGTGCTTTGAGGAAAGCAAGGCAGAAAATGAGTTTTAAGACTGTGATTATTTGATTTTTAAAATACATGTGGTAGGCCGGGCATGGTGGCACACGCCTGTAATCCCAGCACTCGGGCGGCTGAGGCAGGAGCATCATTGCGAGTTTGAGACCAGCCTGGGCTACAAAGTGAGCTCCAGGCCAGCGTGCATAGCGAGACCCTGTCTCAAAAAGAAATAAAGAAATAAAATACACATAGTCTTTCTTCTAATGGAAACATTTTCATAGTGCAACTCTAAACTATATCTTTTTGAAGAATATAAAATATAAACTGCAAAAAATAGCTTGAGGTTTTACTCTGAAAGCAGCTCTTTCCACATGGCAGGCAAGAGATGGAGAAGAAATCCATTCTAGCACCCCCCATATTTGAGAGCGATCGCTCAGAAGCCAGCTGGGGCAAGGGTGAAGTGTTTAAGACTGACCTACTCTGATAACCAGAAGCCACAAAACAGCTACACTGCAGAGCTGTTGGAGTCCCCCTACCAAAGTGACTGGATGGGAAATGGCTGTAAGAAACAGTCCCAGAGAGGGTGCAGGCTAGACGGAGCTGGGCGGAGACGTGTATGCTCAGGCTGGGGAGAACACAGAAGTCCTGCCCTCTGCGGTGAGAAGTCAGGCCAAGCAAGTGTGGTCTTCAGAGCAGCCTGGGTCTGGAAGTGCTGGGCTTTAGACCAGAGGACTGCTTCAGCCCTCACCTACCCCGCTGCCTACATCCAGCACCGAGTTCAGTGGTCTGCTTGCTTTCTGCTCCTACCAACATGATCGAGGACATGCCTCAGCGTGAACAGTTGCCATAGCCTGGGTGTACAATGGAAAGTCCTCTGGAGCAGGGGTGGCGCTTCACAAACCCACCGCTGTAAGACTAGGTGAGGAAAGCAGTGATCTGGGGCACAAGAGGGCTGGAAACTGGGAGTGGCTGGACTGAAAACAACCCAGGGCAGACACTATTGAGCGATCTGCCCAGCAAGCGTTCACACACAGAACAGGGGGTGTGGGAACAAATCAGACTCCGTGGGACCGTAACCTCCTCCGTGTCCGGTGGATTCCCACACGCCAAAAGAATCAGGCAGACACACAGAGGAATTTTTTTATTCATGTCTCTTTTTGTTTTTTGGTGGTGTGGGATTTGGGTTTTTTCTTTCTTTTTCATTTTCCTTGTTTGTTCCTTTCTGCTACTTTTATCTAGTCCTATTCATTTTCTTTTACTCCTTAGTTGGATCCTTTATCTCTCTTCTGTCCTCTTTCTTATTTTTCTTTTTCTATATTTCAAATTTTACTTCGTTTTCCCCTTTGCCCTCTATTTTTATTAGTACTACTATCAAGTTTTACAACATTTAGATATATAGTTTATGCTATTATTGTTGAATTCTTTTCTATTTTTAGTTGTGGTATAGTTGTTAAATTTAGTGGATATTTACTGTATGTCAATATTTGGTTGGTCTTTGTGTACGTATTATTATTGCAGATCACTTTTCTATTGTTAAGGGTGGTACAGGGCTAGATTTATTGGTGTTTATGGTATGTTAATATCCAATTTATCTTTGACTATTATTGTTGCTAATTTCTTTGCTATTGCCAGTGGTGGCAAAGCTATTAATTGGCTTCTACTGTGCACCAATATCTGTTTTGGATTTATGACCTCAACATTACTTGGCTCATTTCCAGACATGTGGGTGCTGGACCACTTTTGCTGCAAACTCCCCTCCTCAAATTAAAGGAATGGTTGGATCTTAGGACAGGGGCAAAGGCCTAGAGTTAGGCATGCCCAGAATGGATCACTGGAAAGCAGACACTAACTAAAGATATCTCCATACTAGCAACAAAGTCTTTCCACTTTAACCGTTCCTTTCCCATCAGCACATGTGTGTTGGGGACCAAGCTGGGCGAGCACAACACAAGACCTCCCCACGGCAACGGGTGCGACTTTCTTGTACAGGCAGAGA